TATGGTGCGTGACGCGCTGGCGAACATGCCAGCGCGGACCCCCTCCATTCCGGCGTAGCCTTATTGGGCCGACCCATGAGCAGGGCTAGATGCCCCAGTTTTTTATTTCATTTTTCTTTGCTTTTTACCTTTTGTTTTTCCCTGTTTTTAATTCCCTACTTCAAAATGAATTGGATATAAAAAAAGTCAAATTTCCAAAAAATATTGGAAAACAAATGTTCAAGAAATCATTAAATATTCATTTAATAAAAATGTTCATGATTTTGAAAGAAAAACATACGCATATTGAAAAAGTGTTCATGAATTCAAAAAATGTTTGCGGATTCAAATAACGTTTATGATTTTAAAACAAATTTTCATGTATTTAAAAAAGTTCAAAATTTCATAACAAATTAAAGATTTGAGAAAAATATTCAGGAAATATGAAAACTTGTTCACAAAATTTATAAATTGTTCACAAAATTCATAAAATATTAAAAAAAAATCATGGATTCCAAGACATTACGTGAAAAAATATTTATGAATTCCAACATTCGATTAAGAATTTCAAACAAATGATTGCCTTTGCAAAAAAGACTTGTTCACGAGTTCCAAATTTGCAATTTCAAAAAAAATGTGTGTGAATTCGAGAAATGTTCACGACTTAGAAAAGAATTTCTGGAATTTCTAAAAACAACATGGGTTTTAACAACAAGAAAATTCAAAGAAATTATGAACTCTTTTTGAAATCAATGAACAAATTTGATTATAAAAAAAATGTGCACCCTGATTTGAATAAATGTTCAAATTTCCAAAAAAAAATCACCGACTAGAAAAAAGATATTCTCGGATTTCAGAAAATATCCGTGAAATTTGGTAAGAAAGAAAACCGATAAAAGAAAAAAATATATAAAATAACAAGAAAAGGAAGAAATAAAAAAACCAGTTTGGGAAGGATGTAGAACCTTCCCAAAACCGGGCATCAGCTATTTGGGTTGGCCCACTGTTTGGACGGGGGAGCAGCAGAGGTACTCGCGCGCTTACTTGCGCGCGCCCTGCACGCCGAATAGGAGAACCCGTTCCATATCTTGCTTGTTTTATATGAGGGGTTTTGAAGCAAGCGCCATGCTGGGCTGACCCAGGGCGTGGGAGGCCACTGCCTTGCCAGCTTTTCATGTTTTTAGTTTTTCGTTTTTTTGTTTATACTTCCAAATATTCCAAATATATATACTAGAAAATCAATTTACATAAAAAATTTGAAAAAATTTAACCAATCAATTGAAAATTGTTAAATGTTTATACAAAATTTATTTCTCATACATACGAAGAATATTCAATGTGTATGAATAAAACTGTTCATGTATTTAAAAATGTCTATCAATCATTTGAATTTTTTATCAATAATTTTAAAATATCAATCAAGCATTTGAAATTTTTTAAATGTGTATGAAAAAAAGTTTTTCGTACCAAAACTATAAAAAAATACAATGTGTATGAACAAGTATTGATCATGTATTTAAAAATTGTTAAAACATGTATAAGAAATGTTTCAAGGGTATAAAAATTGTACTATACATTAAATAAAAGTAGACATCGAAAATATATATTTAAAATAGTTAATTTGGTATTTTAAAATGGTTAAAATGCATATAAAATGTTCCTGATCTATAAGTTTTTTAGTGCCATTAATAATATGTACCTTTTATTCACACACACACACACACACACACACACACACAAAATATGCATAATGTTCATGAAAAAAGTATACATAAAAAATATAAGTTTTCAAAACATGATAATCATGTATTCCAAAAATATTGAACATGTATATAGAATATGTTTATGATGTATATGAAAAGTGTTGAATGTGTAATGAAAAGCCTTGACATGTGTTGAACAAAAAGGAAACAGATGTAATCAACAAAGAAAAACAAAGGGAAATGAAGAAATGAAATAAAAACCAAAAGCCAAAAATGAAGGGAAAACCCCAAAGAAGACCAGTGCAAAAAAGAATGGAATATAGTAAAAACCGAGAAATTAACTTGAAAAAACAAAGAAAATTGATGAAACCCAAGGAAAAAAAGAAAACAAAGATAAATGAAGATAGGAACAAAGATAAGCAAAATAAAAAGTGAAAAACAGAGAAAAGAAAAAGCAGTGGAAACAATGATAAAAGGAATAAAACCAGAAAAAAGAATAAAAAAGAATATGCAAACAGTGACACAAGCAAACTACCAAACAACGAGCGAACATCGATAGGAACGAGCTACGCTAAAGGGCCGTCCATATGCACGCGCCCTTGAGGCGATACAGATGTTAGAATCGCTAAAAGCAAGATATAGCATTCGCACTGAAACACTAAAGAGGAGCACTCTATGGGTCATGGGGGCAGCTAGAACCTGGGAAGTGCATGCTGATGCAAATGTAAAATAAAGAAATTAAAATAAGGAAAGGTCTAAAATAGCCATCTAATCAACTATTGATCTTGTTTAATACTATCACTCTGTTCTTGCGGTAGTATGATGTACCGTCAAAAGTCTCTATTTCCCAAGTTTGTCTGTTTGCCATGTTTGCTCTACTAGCAAACATGTTTGTGCGTTACAACGGGTATAAATTATGTATCGCCAAAATTAAATGTACTAAAGAAATTTAAATGCATTAGCAATTGCAAGAAGTAAGAAAAAACACAACAAACTATAAGTAGCAGCATTATATATGTTCTCTTCTATATGTGCAAATGTACAATAAACATCGTCACAAACATAGAAAGATTCGCTGCAACCTTGTCTCTATGTCAGGCCTGATATTGCTAGAGAAACAATCTCAAACTTTGATCATACTTCTTGTGTGTGCCTGCCGTAGTGTTGTCTGCAACCCCGTCCGAGCCCCCCCTGCTCTGTACACTGCGGTACACACCGATAGGCCGGCCTTATACATTAGCAATAACCCTACCACTTCCCATTGCTAAGATGAGAAGTTCTTAAGGATCTATTAATAGAACAACAAATTGGAGGTAACCGAGAAGCTTGCAGTTCAAAGAAGGTGCTTGCAAGTAAACCTTCCCCTGGCCAGGTCGGGTTTGGGCCGGGCTTGGCAAGGCCTGAAGGCACATGAACAGTTGCATTTTCTATTTAAACTAATCATATTGGAATATTGTATTAATTTATTTTATATTGGGATATTTATATTATTCTTCACCCTGGGCGAGGAATAATTATTCTTCACCGCCCTCTATTTGATATCAATGCACCGTATTTTTACTTTTCATAAGTAAAAAGAGAATGCAATAGAATATATAATCGCCATAAAATATATTTTATGTTACGTAAAATTACAAACGTAAAAACATAGTGTAAATTTACATAAAATACATTTTTCTGGTCTTATGACCTATATTTTTGTTTTTTGATGCCAAATTTTATTTAGTGAATCAATATGAATGTAATTATTTGTATACCAAATATAATTTATTTATGAAACGATTGTAAGATTACCTCGGGTGAAGAATAACTTATTCTGCACCCTGAGTGATGAATAGTATTACTATATATATGGCCATTTGGGGCTTTTTCAAGCTTTTGGGCCCGGCTTCGGGCGAGAAACCGGAGCCTGAGTCCGGCCCCAATGTCGGGCTTCAGGTTCGGGCCTGCGGGCCGGGTTGTCCATGAATAGATCTACTTGCAAGCCCTAATACTTGAAATATTTTGTGTTCGTTCATGACATAATAATATTGCTACCAACTACTTTCTAGAGAATGTCACGCTATTGTGTAAGCTACACACAGCATTAGCATACATACCTAACTGATTTCGTTAGAGTTGTGGTTTGATTACAAAAACACAGGTACTTTTTTGTAAAATATTAATGACAAACTAAGCTCCCTTTAATAGTAGGTACAGGTAAGAGTATTTCAATTCAACTTGTGCGGTGTATGGCCAATCTATTTTCACTCGTCTGCACGGTGTAGTTGGCTGAAAGAAAAACCGCACAAAGAACTCGAAAAAGACCATATAAGTTTAGGATGCTCATATGCCGCAACATCGCTCGATCGCGCGACTACCAGACATGTGCGGCTAGGGTATCATGGTGAGGGCACGCTGGAGAATCATGGTGTGATGTCTGGTCAAAGTTGTGGTAGGCAAACGATTGGGGTGAGGGATCATTCGCCAAGTAAAATACCCGATAAGTTTAATGTAAGTAGAACTTTTACGGCCTAGACAAAGAGATCATAAAAGTACTACGATGATAGATAACAGGAATGTAGATATGAGTGGTAGGGTGCAGGCCCAGCCTCGTCTCCTCCGCAGCGACGGTGTGAGGAACAAATGCACAAGGAGTTGCGCTGAGAAAGGATAAGGTCGCTGGAAGAGAGGAGGTGTTGCGTGGATAGGACGAGCGGGCAGCGTTGCATGCCGAGGCGACCTGCCCAATTCCTAGCCGGTCGCCTGGCATGAATTATTACTCTTTTATGATCTCTTATCTAGGCCGTAAAAGTTTTGCTTACATTAAATTTACAGAAATTTTATTTCACGAATGTTCCTTGGCCTCACCCAATCGTTTACGTGACACAATTTCGACCAGACGTCACGCCATGTTTCTCCAGCGTGCCCTCACCATGATCCCCTAGCGCTGTCGTCTGACTGCACATGCCTGGCAGTCGCGCGATCGAGCGAGGTCGCATCCGCGTGGTGTGAGCATCCTAAACTTATCTGGTCTTTTGTGAGTTCTTTGTGCAGGTTTTCTTTTAACCAACTGCGCCGTGCAAATAGGTGAAAATAGATTGGCCTTACACCACACAAGTTGAAGAGAAATATGAAGCAAACATGGCAAGCACATAAACTTGGGAAAATATCACATACATATAAAAGCAGTGGCTTATTTATTTTTATTTTTTTATTAGGTGGGCTTATTTAGTTAGCAGCAACTCCACCACCAACACAGACCAAACGCTGCATAATAAGTGAGGACCTCCCTCTACGTTTACGTGTAGATTAATGCGAGGTCACCATGGCATAGGCTCACACATCAGACCAAGTGACCTTGAACTCTCCAATGTCTTCGTTGAGCCCCAGCGCCTTCCACACTGCCGGTGACCCGTCCACGACGTTGTTGGGGCACGGCGGCTCGAAGTTGTGCTCCACTTCGCAGCCGTTCACCGAGTCGCACTCGTCGACGACCTTGGCCATCGCAAACCGCCCGTTCCCGTTAATGCGGATCATCTTGTTGCACCTGCGCGTGCCGTCGAGGCGCAGCCACCCCGTGGATAGAGCCACCACCAGCTCGCTGTCCTTGTGGAAGCGGTTGTCACAGAAGGACTTGCCGCCGCCGTCCCCACCCGCCGCGAAGCTGTTCAACGTCAGGATCGCCGGCGTCTCGGCCGACACAGGGGGCGAGCACTTGAACTGCGGGTAGCGGTGGCCGGCCACGCAGCAGTCCGAGCCGTGCTCCCTGTTGCATTTGCCGGCTACGCCGTGCAGGAAGCCACTGATGTGGCATTTGCCGCTGCCGCCGGGCTTTGTGGGCTTGTGCGCTCTGCTGACGGCGGACGCGGAGACGCCATGGACGTGGAGGTGGAGTGACAGGAACTGCAAGACAGCGAACACGGCCAGTAGCTTCATGTTAGCCATGCCTACCAGGCTGCATGCAGATCTGCGATTTGTACTTGTGAGGATCTGCTGATCGATCTTCTTTATATAGGACCACAATTAGCTGATGTAACCGGGCACGTCAATCAATCCGGTCTCGTTTCATCGGTTTTGCAACCCACAGCTGGTGCGTTGGTGTCTTGATGCTGGTCTTGTAATATTTGGGCACGGTAAATTTCTTGTTAAACAGCTGTTTCTTCTTTGTTGGTTTAGTGAAAGAAATCTTGGCATTCCTGTCAACCAGTAATAACCGAGGTGCAGACATTTCTCGGTATCCGAGTGAATGAGATTCCAATGTAGTATTAGCAGCCAAGTAATTGTGACTGTATGTATCACCTGCTTACTTATCTGTGGATCAGTGGATGGACTACAGGAATAATGGAATATATGTTCTCTCACTTGTCGTTTTCGCACGTTATTGGCAATTCTTTGCTCCAACCGACAAAGGTGGCAACGGCTCGCCATCTGAACAACAACACATCTGACATGTGTATATCACTTTCAATATTTTAAATAGCACGCTACAAAATATAGCGAGGCCCTTCTTTAAATGCTACACAAGTTATAGCGCGCTAATAGCGTGCTATATTTCAAAATAGCGTTTGCAAAAAAAAATCAAATATATCTAGAAATGAAGTATTTAAGCAACTCAATTTTTCATAGGAGCAAGCAATATATGCATAAGGGCCAAATCCAGCACATAAAAATAGTAAGTCTCAAGCATCAACAACCATAGTTTTAAGAGTCTCTAACATCAACAGCCACCTGGGCAGCCACCTGGGCTTGCTGCTTAGGTCTAGTGGGAGAATCTGATAAGAGGAGTGAGAAAGCTAGTGGTCGTGGGTTTGTTTTGGCCTGCTGGGCCTGCTGGGCTGTGCTTATTTCAGTTTTGCATGGTCTGCACGTCGTAACGTTACAATGTTACAACGTTATAGCGTATGTAGCGCGCTAATTACGCGATTAGCGGCGTAGCGTCCGATTTTGCCAAAACGTAACGTCTCCCTTTCAAATATGCTATAACCGCGTTATAACAACGAAATAGCGTGCTATTTAAAATATTGGTCACTTTACATTACACCTCAACTAAGGAAGAAATATAATCAAGAGCCGGAAAAAATAATGAAAACATGACATATTCTAGTCTTCAGAGTTATTATTTTTCTTTTTCTTAAAAGAAGGATTAACTCCGGTCTTGCATATAGCCATCTTTATTACATTATTCAACAAGGTTTTACAAAATAAATGCATAGATTAACTCAACGCCAACTTCCTGATGAGAACTGTCGCCCTACCTACAAGATTGATGATGTACCTTGACCGCCCGCCACGCACACCAAAAAAGCCGATGGCCTCACCAAGCCACTCGCCGGCTAGCCGGAAGCACCAACCGGTCTAGCAGACCCTCAGCGTGCACCGCGTGTGCACGCTGTAGAATCCGTGGCCGCCTTTATCTGCGGCATCTTCAGGAGCAATCAATGCACTGATCTTGCCAGACCCTTCTGCTGTTGACGCCACCATGACGCCAAACAACGTCTGCCTCGTGTGCACGTCCATCGAAGGGTGTCTAGCACCGAGACCCCGCCGCACCTTGCAGCCAAGACTCCCCATCGTCAATACTATAGATGGCACGCCGCTCTGCCTTGGTTACCGCACGAGAAGCATACAGAGACCTGCGCCTAGCCACCAAGCCAGACACTTATCCCTCCAGCCGGTGTACAACCCATACGATGATGCCCCATTGGGGTGTCGACGCAGGAACCTCGCCATTATCCGATCTGGAAAGCCCAAATCTGGGTTTCCCCTAGGGAACACAGGGAGCGCGAATTGCCCCACAATGCCTCCAACGAGGTACCGATGCCCGCGGGCGCCGCCGTTGATGGTTCTAGCCGAGGCCGAACTAAGCTTTCGATGGAAAATTGGCGTCCATCCCCAGCTGGACCACCAGATCGATGTCCTCCGACATAAAGCACACCCATGGGTGACGTCTGCTACCAGGAAACCGTATGACCGGAGCCGCACCACTGCCTGGGTGAGGATCGACGGTGGAGGGGCTCTCACCGTTGCGCTGCCAACACCAGATGACGCACACGCCCAGGACACCCACGCGGATCTCCACCGCAACCGCATCCCAAAGCCACGGCGGAGTAAGGCCGCGCCTCCGCCATCATCCCCCCGTCTGGGCTTTGCCCCGTGGAGTTCCGGCGGCGGCGAGGAGAGGGGCGGCGGCTTCAAGCCCTATATCAGATCAGGAGGGAGGAGATCGGGAGGGAGGGAGTCGAGGAGAGGGGTGGCGGCGACTAGAGAAGGGAGGAGATCGGGAGCCCCTCGGGTGTCTTCTGCCGTCTTCAGAGTTATTGGGTTGCCTCACTTACCCATTGAATATCATACCCAGGAATGTTCAAACCATGAATAGTTCTAGGTACCGATGAGGAAAATTTGCTCCTCAATGTTAAAAATCTGAGTCTTTAGATTTTGGGTCAGGTACACACATGCAAATTTTGGGTGAAAATATGAAAATTTACACGTGCATGTTAGCCATGCAATCTAGCAGCATATATGACTTTTTAAAGACTTTGTAGAAACTTGTTGTGATATTTTCATTCAAAAAACCAGGGAGCGGGCCAGCTGCTTCAATATATGATGGTTTATCACTTCTTGTATTTAAGTAAAAGCACTGATGTATCTTCGGCACACCGCTGGATTATTACCTTTATTTGTTTCGACTTCTGAGTCACAAAAAAAGATTATTTATCTCACACCAATGTTGTATGAAATTATACATATATTTTAGTTGAAGCAACGAACATGCTGTCAATATCTATATTAAAGAAACCGCCACAAGTCTACAACAACTCAAGCAGACAAGTACAATAAAGAAAATACCTAATCACAAGAAGATCAACTCCACTCACCTGCATGTAAGCAAGGGAAGTTCACAAGCGAAAAAAAGAAACATCAGAGTTCTTCATTTCTCGACCAGACTATCCCCTGTGCCCTTCTTGACACTGACACCCATCCATGTCTTCACGCTTAAACCTCATGTATCAGCATCTTGATCAAGGAAATTCCATCCTCAAGATCCTTGTCGCTTCAGCAACATCGCCCATTAATTAACAAAAGTGCACAAATAGAAAATCGCAGAAGCATGATCATCAGGAAATTTATAGAGAAAGCGTGCATTACTTTGTGTTTTCCATATTGTCCAACATGTTGCTCCACTAAGATTAGGCTACATGTTTTCTAGGGAAGGATGATAGTTATCCGCTAAACATATCTTCAAGCCCTACGGGTATCTTACAAAGTTCCAATACACAGTTGTGAACAATATTGAGGCGTTGTGCGACAAACTCAAACATCAAGCAGAGGCTCTCAGAGAGGTCAAGATCCATCGTGGAGGTTGAACATGCTCGCCGATCGTTGTATCGTCTTGTTATTTTTGTTTGTCTTTGGCTTTTGAGATGTTGGCCCCGTTGGGTCTGTATCGAACCTATTTTCTTTCTTGTTGTCGAACCAGTGTTGTAAACGATTTAGGGGCTTCAGTTCGCTAAAGCCGGGAAGCGCCCCCTTTCTAAATAAAGTTCCAGCGCACGACGGCCCGCTTTCCACATGAACTTGGCAAGAGAGCAGTCAAAAAGAAAGTGCTCAGTTTTTTTCTCAGATAGAAAAGGGCAATGGTCATTCCCTGGCGAACACCATCTGATGGAATTACCCTTTGTCAATATATTGTTCTTCAAGAACAACCATTTTCACTTTCCATAGATGTTTGTAATGCACCATCCTCACTACCCTGAGCTGGAGATATAAAGATCTCACGATGAACCTTCCATTATTCATCTTCCAAATAAATAGTGTCTTCACTGTCACTCAACCTTATATCTTGAATTTTATCAAGCTATGTTTGCCATTGCAAAGCTAACTCACCAAGCAAGGTCCTTCTGAACTAAATATATTCTCTAATCCATCTTAAAAAATCCTCTACAATGTTCTCTGCTTTAAGAAGATGATGCTATAATGTCTAGGAAATTGGAGAAACAAAGACCCTCCATCTATCCAACTATCCTCCCAAAATAAAGTCTTGCAAAAATTTCCAATTACTTTCCTTGTGTACTATTGGAAGATCTAATTCACCCCCACCAAGCTTTGTAAAAGTGAAAGCTACCAGACCCTTTCCTTATCTATGATGGAGTGTGTCTCTCCAAATAGTTTTTGTACAATATATATTGCCATGTCCCTGTAGTTGATTCCATATTGAAGATCCATTAATATTTACAATGCAAGATTTGATTCAGGGTGATCAAATCTAGAATCCTGGGAAGTCCACAATCCTTGGGTAAACATACAGTGGGCCAGTTCACCAGATGGTAGATTTTCTGATAATTAGTCTCCTGCCACAACATTCTTGCTCTACAATGGTCCCAACTCTTGGCTACACCTTTAGGAACTTCCAGAAATGAGAGAATATATAGAGGGACACTACTCAAGCAATCATCAACAAGAATTGCTCTGCCACCAATTGAAAGAGTGCCTCTGTTCCATCCTTGCATCTATTTCTCAATCTTCTCTTCAATATGACCCCATCGAGAAGTTCTTAATGGTTTACTGTCAATGGGCATGCCCAAATATTGGAAAGTAAATTTACCAAATGTTGTACATAAATATCTCACTATATGCATCTTTTCTATTGGTATATTCTCCAAGGAAATAAATTTCACTCTTGTGAAAGTTTATTTTAAGCCCTAAGATTTGCTCAAGATGCAAAAGATGAGTTTCCGTTTTTATTGCACCATCAAGGTTATCCTCAAGCAAGCAAATGGTGTCATCAACATATTGTAAAATAGCAAATCCATTTTCCACCGCGTGAGCTCATCCCTTCATTTGATCCAACTTCTTATGCCTTTATAATAAGCATGGCTAGACCATTAGCAATAATAGCAAATAAAACGGGTGAAAAGGGTTCTCCTTGACAACTTTGAACTGGGAAA